AAAGTTTAGTTGTATTTTTGAGGGCATTCTTAACTGAAAGACTGCTTCTCAAATTTTCAGCAATCCTGAATGTGCTACCACTTTATTTTAAAGTTGTGGCAGTGTGCAGTTACTTGGAGCACAAACTGGTAAGTAATTTTTGGTGGATCTGTGAAACATCTTTGCTTCCTTCAGGACTTGCTGAATCTCATCACTTTCGGGTTGAAGCACAGTCTAGGTGTGCAATACCTAAAAAGTATTTTCATGAATGGTAGCCTCTGACAGTAGTTGCTGGAAGTAGACTCAGTATGCCAACCACATCATAAAGCCACTTTTCATTTAAGTATTATTTACTGTTTCTTGAGTTGAGGTGATTTTCCTTTACAGATTTCCTCTATGATGTTTGAATTAGAGGATAAGCTTCATATTTTGTTGCCTAATATTTTAAAATGCTCTGAAGACAAATGCATGAGGAAAACTCTCTGTTCATCTGTTTGCTTAATGACTGTATTTCAGTGAAGGCAACTACATATATGGAGGCAAAACATGATGATCTTGGGGTATGAAATCAGCCTTGTTGTCAGTCAGTGTGAAAATTTCTCAATACATTTTGCAAGATCTTTGACAAAAAATCCAGAAAAGAGGGTTATGAAGGTAGTTATGGAACATGTTCACAGCTGATCAATGTAGAACGTGTTGCAGGCCTCCTTCAGCAAATTATACACATAATTGAAGCACACATCAGAGATGCAAACTAAAAAAAAAAAAAAAAGCCGTTTTTAAATTGCTCAAGGTATTTACAAAAGATTGCTGTTGGAAAGCACGAAAGAAACATTGCTGTCATTTGCAAGTACTCAGGAGACTTCCTGTGCTATGACAATTTAGGATTTGTAAGCATGTAGACAGAAAGAACTTGATTTTGGCTCTCAGTGGATCTTATCTGTCCTTAATGTACTTTACCAAACCTTAGATTTCCTCATAGATTATATTCCTCTGTTTTTTTAAGCTTCATGCTGTAATATATTTTCTTAGAAATCAGCTGCTAGTAGTGAATATGCTGGTGTTCTTTGGTTGCTTTAAAAATTTATCCCTGTTTTTCCCTAGGGTGCACTTTCCCTGTAAACCCAAATACTGTGTCATGCAAATGCTTGTCTCTTAGGCATGAAGGATCACTTATCTTCTTTGTATTCTTGATGGCTACTAAATCCTACTAAATCTCTTGTGGAGATGATATTTTCAGAAAATTTGCCAGGAAAGTAATTTGCAGATTTGCACACCAATGTTAAGCTTTATTCATGTAGATTTCGCAGTCCATAAAGTGTTCAAATGGCTGTCCCAGAACAAAGGCAATGCCTTTAATATTGAGGCCTTTGATCTCTTTTGCATACTAATTATCAGTTTGGGCTTTCATTATGGTGTTTCTTTAATTCCTTTTTTTTCTTTCATTTTAGTTCCTTTCCTTGGTATTTAATATTAATTTTTAGAAATTATTTTTATGTGACTGTCTTTAAGTATTGCATTATTGTCATGCTTTTACTCTTACTGCATATCTCATTATGATATTGTAAAATCACCAGCAGCAACCTCTCTCCATTATATCATTGTTATCCTGTTATACACAATACATTTTTCTTGAAGGTAAATGCTTCTTGAAGGTACAAGAGATTTTACATGAAGCTTGTCCACTATCTCTCTTTATCCCAAGAATGAGGTGAATTTGAACGTTGGTTAGGGAAGAGTCAGCACAGAAAAAGGACAAGTCTTTCAGGAAAATCTTGTGCAAAGCAGAGAAGGTCTTACTGGTGAAAATTGAAAGAAATCATTCCTATGAAGAGGCAACTACTAGAATCTAGTGACCACAGATATTTGGGAATAATCAGAAAATGTAGATATTTTAAAGACGTGTTCATCTGATAATAGCACTTCATTCCCTGCACCTGGAAGCATTCTAAAGAATGAGAGCCGCGAGATATGATTGTCATATGTTTTATTTTCATGATTGTCATAGGTTTTATTTTCAACACAGGTCTGGTGTCTGAGGCTTTGACTACACGCAGTTCAAGGAAAGCTCTGAGGAGAAGAGATGGAGAGTTGGGATTCCAAGTGTGCAGTAGGAAGACAGGGAGTAGAGGAGCTTCCTCTTTGTCCTTAAGTGAGGCACAAATTTATGTGGAAGCAGCTGTGTCCTTATTTCAGACTCACCTTGTACTGCTGCGATACCCTTCCTGCTCAGAGCCCTGTCCCTGTGTTAGCATTGCACTTGCATGTGCCTGCTGACACTTTCCAAGCAAGGCTGCAAGACTCACCTGAAGCCCTCTTTTCCTTGCAGGTGGATCACAGTCTTTGCCTTTTTTCTTGCAGTTGAATTCCCTCAGGGAAGGGCCATCTTTAAGAGCATTTTGTCATTATTTCAATGTGTAGCTGCAAACCTGACACCTATCATGTTACTGGCTTGCTGGTCTCATTAAACACATTCCAAGATTGATTTCCTTTACAATTTCTGTCATGAGTGTTTCTTTACTCCTGTAGGTGTCAGTTAAAACAGATCAATTCCACTGTATGCACAGGGTAAAATAACTAGGGAATAGAAAGCCCTTCTTCCATCCGTATAAGGAGTTTGGTCACACATATTGACCTTTTCCCCTTAATGGGATTTTAGGACTTCAAGAGCTGAGGTAGTGTTTCATCAACATAATTAAGGCAGTTTTAGTTCCTTTTTGCACATCTGCTTGTTGTTGCCTCTTCAAGGTGTAGGCCCTTGTCAATCAGTAGTCTGTCTGTGCCTCCTATGAGTTATCTTTGAGTCTCCTTCTCCAGTCTGCTCTCAGGGGCTTTATACTAAAGGGAAGGACTGGGAATGTTACGGAAATCCTTTTAGTTCAAGAAATTTAGCTTTTTAGGTCAAAAGCCTTCTTAATTCTGACTAAACTTTAAGTTTGCATTTTTGGAGGCATACCAGCTATTCCATTTGTATCCCAGTGTGACAGTCCGCTGTAAATTTCAAGGAATTTTTTTCAGCTATGGTAACTTGAATGAATGATCATGAATCTGAAGTTCTCCTTTTCAGTCCTTCAGGACATAACCAAAGAAACAAACAGAAAACCAAAATGTAGCCTATTCTTTTCATATGTTTCTTAGTTTTCTTCTTGCATCTTCACTTTGTTTGCCATGTGATTTTCTTGATTCTGGTTCTGTATTTAAGGTACTAATTTGTGATTATCTAAGGTCCTTTTAATGAGTTAATTTCAAACGGTAACAATCCACTCACACAACTGTTTGTCTTTTGGGATCCAAACCTGAATTTGGAGACAGGTCTGTGTGTTCACGCCTGTACGTGTTACATATCATACATTTGATTAAACTGGGGCTTTGTTACTGGCTGATGAACATAAGTGAAGTGTCACCAAAATATCTACAATTTTTACACCTCAGCAGTTTCCCCCTGAGTAGGACTGTCATTCTAATTGTTTCTCTACACTTTTTTCCCAATAAAAAAGGACAGTTACTAACTGCTTATGCCTGAGAAAATTAACAGTTATATGAAAAAGACATTACTTTTTGTTTTACAAACCTTACCTCATGCAGCCAGATGAGAACACTAAGAGTGTGTAGGTAATTGGCTTTCCTGCACCCTGTGTTTTTAATTGCAGGGATATGCAGTCAGCTCAAGATACATTTCTTGTGCTCTAATGAATTTTAACATAAAGGTCTATTTCTAGGTAGATCAGCATTGGAAGAGCTTTTCAGCTGTCTTATAAAAATAATTTAAAGTAACACATTCATACCAAAACCTTGCCACCCAAGAAATTAAACATAGAATTTATTATGTAATTGTGTGTGTATTTTACCTAATGACATCAAGGTGGCTTTTGAAAAAAATGCAGCATTTCCCAGAGCTTCTTTATATCACAGCAGTAAGTTGACATTGATTCAGCAATTGTTATAAGTTAGATAAAGTTTGAGATATGTCATTTCAGATGAAAAAGCTTATTTAATCCTTATGTAATTTTTTAATTCACTCTTTGCATTTATTTGTGACTTGAAAAAGGAAGTAAATAAACCTCTTCTTTCCTGACAGTGTTTTGGATAACACATCTACATGAATGCAATATTAAGGGCATGTCATTTCTCAGCTGAAAAAGCTCCATCTAGTTGTACTGTACAAATGACTGCAGCACAATGCACTGAGTATACATGAACATTTCATTAGTGTTGCTGCCAGAGTAAATAGGCAGCCGTTTTGAAATACCTCTGCTATCCATATTTATAGAAGGTATTCAAAAAAATGCTTATGTTGGATGTTGTTTGGGTTTGTATCTGCCTCTGATATAGCTGTGACTTTGACCACGTCATTTAACTACATGCAGCTCTTTTCCCACTTTTGAAGAGAGATGGTAATTGTTTTCTTCAGATGGAAGTTGCAAAGTCTGTAGGTGGCTCAAGCTCTTGAGAATGAAGGATTTCTATGCTGGAGTTATGAAAGACAGTGCAAGCATCTGCTGCGACACTGATGTGAGCTATCTTCATCGTCCTGTCCCACACTAATCTGCTAAGTGAACTTGTCACTAAGAGCCAAGTAACTTAAACTTCACTAAATAAAAAGTACTAATTGTATTTACCCATCTTTGTCAAAAAGTTGTGTACCTGCATATGTTATTAGCTCGAGGACATCTATTTTTGTGATTGAAGATTTTGCCAGTTTGCCTTTCTCCCCACCCCTTGTAAGTGTGTATGAATAGTCATAATCAGAATTCCAGTCTGCACATAGGGATGCATTTTGATTCATTTAATGCTCTTTAATTACAGTTAAGTTTCATTGCAGCAAAGGATCTGAAGTCTGAGTCTATTCCAAATACCTGTTAAGATTGTAGGAGGTCACCAAGGTGGTTTACATTCAAAGCAGAAGGTCTGATTTTAGTCAGCTGTAATAATAGCCAATTGCATCTGGTAACTGTGCATCATTTCTGTATTTCTGTTAAAATGTATTTGTCTGTTATACTACTGCATATGCTGTATTTCAGGAAAAGCAGAGATTTCTGACAGATGTCCTACATGAAGTGATGCTGCTGGATGGGCTGGCCAGTTCACATCCAGTATCCCAGGAAGTGCAGCAAGCCTCAGACATTGACAGGGTGTTTGACTGGATTGCCTATAAAAAGGTGAGAGTAACTAAGCTTATCTATATGGTACAGATATGTCAGTAGCTATAAGATCGTGTTCCATCTGTAAAAGAAATACCATTGTCAAACTATGTATGGGAAACTAATCTGTGTGGAATGCATTTGGAACATTCTACAGTGATTATAGCCAATTACATTCAACATATCAACCATTAGTAAATGTTACAAATAAACTTGGGAGGCTGTCAAAATTCACTAAGATGATTTAGGGCTTTTTATTACTATTTATTTTGTGACAGGGTCTGAATTGTGTTAGATGCTTTAAAAAGCAAAAGGATTTGTAGTTTTTGTCCTATTGAAACTCTCTAGAAAACTTACCAAGGGTTAAATTTAAATGTAAAGCTTTTTCCCTGCATGAGACTGTTACTGTCAACTAGTGAAAACTCTGAAGTCATTGCTGAACACTGGGAGTGGAGATACTGCCTTCTGGTGTGGTGAAGGAATATGTATTAAATTCAATAAATTTTAAATTCATTTCAATGATTCAAAAGTCTTTTGGCCAGTTTCTGGTTTCAACAGCTTCTGTGCAGGAGTGAGAGGATTTCCCTTCCTCCATAACATGACTGGGCTTGCTGTTAGCACATGGCCTGAAAGCTGGTGTTTCCCACCATACCATATTGCTTATTCTCTGCTACAGATGCTATGACATAAAAAACTGTGTATCATGGCCAAATGTGTTTGCTGTGTGACACAGTGGCTGCTGCCTGCAGCCTTCCTGTACAGGAGCTCTCTGATGATGATTCAGTTGCAAGAGTCTTTTGACTGTGGCCTTTGTGTCTAGTAATCTTTTCTTCTGCATCGTTTTCTGCCTAACATCAGACTGCAGCAAGGCAGCATAGAACTGACTTGGTGACTGAACCTCTTGTTTATCCATTGCTCATTCTGGGATGAAAAAGAGGTGTTATCCTCTCTTGTACTCATAAGCTATTCCTAGACTGCAATAATTTCACCTTGGTCCTCTTCCATGAAATGATCATATGCCTGTAAGGATGGGCAAATGAGATGTGTATGTGTTTGTGGGGGGGTATATGTGACCATGTAATAGGTACCTATGATAGAATATAAAAACCCAAAATACTTAGGACAAGATTTTAAAATGCTGCAGTTGCTTAAGAGCCCAAGTCACATTTTCGAAAATCCTTTAGCTGTCTTGGAAAATATTGCTCTAGGTGAATTAAGCTATAACAGCCAGCAGCTTTTAGCATACTGAATATTCCCATTGTGTAAATCTTTCAATCATATGCTTTCTGGTGATAGCTAGACCTTGGTAGGTTCAGAGGCTTATCTCACATGACTATCTTCATATTTCAATCTAATTATTTTTTCTAATTTATACAGTAATAGTACTATTTTATAGTTAACTGTTGTACATGACAAATTTATGAACACTGCAACCATCAAGTAATTTTCATTTACATTGAAAGGACAAATAGGACAATAGGACACATCTGTATACTGATAGCTATTTTATGCAGACTAATAGGATCAGTCTGTTTTTTTGTAGAGATTACAGTACAAACTCTGTCTTGTATCTATGTAAATGTTCCTTTTTCAGTGTAACAGTGGTCATGCCCAGGGGATACAGCAGCATCTCTCCATTTAGCTGCTCTGGTGGCCAATTCTCCTAATAATATAAATACTGTGGTGAATAGTATGTTGGTAAAATCCAAACTGTAAAATTACACTGAAGGCTTTCACCTGGTCAGGTGTGGACTCAAATATTTTCAGGTGTCACAAAGCCCTTGACACACAATGAGCCCTGCTGGAGGGAAATTACTAGTGGTGTTTCTGGGATGACTTTTGGTTGTCTTTGGTTGAGTGACTTTTTAAATTGCTGTAAAACATTTTTTTTTTTCTTGACTCTACTAAACTTTGGGTCAGGACCATCAGTGAGGACTTTTCTACTGTCTTAAATAAAATATTTTTAAACAGTTTACCACTATGTGCAGCATCTGTTCCCTACATTTTGGATTTTTTTTTCATTGTCTTTTAACTTTTTTTTTTTAAATGTCCATCTTGTGCTCCCTGAGTGCTTGGATTGCCCATGTGATCTCTATTCTCTCTTCACAATTTTCTACATGATAGTGAAATGATGAAATTTTCTCCAATATAAGTTTTGTTCAGTGAAATGACAGTTATAGAATGTCCTTGTTATTTCATTATCTTTGCTGTCATCAATATGGTATAAATCAGGCACCATTAAAGTACCCATCTCTGCTAGACACTCAGCTGTCATTCTAAAGACACGCTTTTTCTACACACTTCAGAAATGGCCATTGAAAATGTGCTATTTAATTGCCTCAGAGTTGAATATATTTTTCTTTTCCACTTTCTCATCCTTGGTGATTGCACGTGTGAAGAAATCCATGACATAAACCCCATGGCATTCAGGTAATCCCACAAGCAGAGTGAAACAGACACTGCAGCCTGGCAGCACACAATATTTTTCCACTTAAACGGTTGAGGGTAAAGTTTGCCTCTTTGAAAAGCATCATGCTAGTCATTCTTCTGATAGAAGCATGTCATCCTCCACTAGGGCCACAAATAAGTAGAGAAAAATGAGAAGTCGTGATAGTTCATTAATAAACAGTACTGGTAGATGATTCAAGGCTCTCAAGTTGCATCAGAGAGTGCATGTGTCTTGCTAGTGCAGCTGGAAGTGAGATAGTGTCCTCCCACGATGACGGGAAAAGTGGTTATATCCCAAGTGCAGTAGAAAATATAGCCTGTTGAACACAAGAGTAGAACTGAGAATTGTTAAATCAAAGCAAAAAGCGTGACAGCCTTTCCACACCAGAAATAACTGACAGCAAGAATCATGGCCCTGGAGAGCTGCAGCATCAGAGGAGGAGAGAGTGCAGCAAGGATAACATGAGGAGCAACAATCAGCATGGAACAACCGACTCTAATAAAATGGAGAAACAAGGCAGCTGCATCTCAAAGGCAACAGCCAGACCCAGAGCAACCTGAGGGAAAGCCATCTCAGACAGAACCAAAGGAGTCATAGCCCTAGATGAGCAGCCACAGCCAGATAAGAGAAGGGATGAAAGGACATCTAGACAGCCAGATATCTAAAGTCGGTTCAGTCAGCCTGCTGCATGCTTTGAAGTGTGCTGGTTGGAGATTCTGGCAGCAATCAGTGCAGGCAAGACCATTATGATGGAGTGTAGCTATAAAAGTACCCTCAAAAGAATATGCCTTGGCAAGTGACAAACAATGATCAAAACAAGGAAGAGGATGACTGGAATAGGGAAGAATATTAATTTTTTCCATCCATGTAAGCTAAATTAACCTCAGCCATGGGATTAGTAACTGACCCTGACTTTGTAATGCAAGCAATTCATTATTTCATAAACCCTTGTTTGTATAACTTCCTTTTCCTTTTTAACTCTATACCACATCTTTAAAATTTCCTTTTTCTTCTTTCAGTGTCAAGTGATGGAAGAAAGATTTATTTCTGATAGTAATAAAGGGAAGCCATGCTTCCTGCTTCCCCTCCAAAGCAGCATTCTGCATTAGGAGATCTGTTCAGCTAAAATATTACACAAAGAAAAATGCACAGCTTCCCTGCATTCTGGCAAAGGAGAATTTAAGAAATTCAAAGCAGTGGCTCGCTCACCCTTTTGAGTGTAATTCTCTTTGAAAATTTACAATGTAGCATGTTCTGCAAGAATGTGGAAGTACAGGAGGGCTAATGCAGTTACTGGAAAGGCTCTCTAAAAACTTCATTCTTTTTACTTCTGTTTCTCAGGCACTGGGAAACACATTCACACTGAAATAACAAAATGAAACCAAACCAAAACAAAAACCCCAATCCACCACCCCATATTCTGTTCAGGAATCGTAGTTTATAAGAAAGCCAATTCATGAGTGCAATGAAATTGTGATGGTGTGCTTCTGTGAAGTGACGAAAAAGAGTGAGAGTAGCTCATTAACAGTGAAAGAAATGGTAGATAAATCCTTAAAAATGGTACAATAGGTTTTTTTTTTAATTTTTCTTTTAGTTGAATTGGTAACGTAACGTGGTATCAGCATGGTATAAAGAGAGAGCTTTTTGTTTTCCCTAAATTAGCCGTGCTGTTGTCTATGGGAGCCATTATGTCCAAAGGGTGCACATTTGTGTGATGCTGATTTTTCTTCCATGACTTGTGAGTGCAACAGGTCAGTGCCCAGATTGCAGAAGGTGCTTTCAGGAGCCATTTATTCCTAATGCATTGTAACAGAGGAGGTATCATGTAATGAAAATAATGTCTTTCTGTTTAGATAAAAAGGCTGTAGGTTGTTACTGCTTCCTGTATGAAAGTCGTTGAAATGCAGTCAGTGATACCAACAGAGCAGCTCCAAGAGAGTTCATCCTAAAGTATGGAGGCTTTCCCAGTTTAGCAGGTGGATGCCAATGCCTAAAGCTAGACAGGTGCTTCAAGATACTTAAAATACTTCTCTTAACTCATCTTCCTACCATCCTGACTCAAGCAGGAGCAAATGGACTTTAACCCTTTACACTAGTTAGTCTATGCTAGTTATTATTTCTGAAGAAGAAACATGGAAACTACAGTGTGTGGTATATAAGCAGCTATGCATGGACAGTGCTTCAGGAGTGTTATGTGTTCCCCATTGCAGGGACAATTGCATATGTGTTTGACTGGAAATAATAAAGATGGAGCACAAATTTAATAAAAGCATTTTATTGTAAAGAAGAGCTCATTAGACTAGACCGCTCCATCAAGGTACAGTTGTTGGGAAGACACGACCTGTTGTGGTACAAGCCTTCTGCCTGTTTCTGGAAAGGCAATGGCAAATGGCTGTGGCAAATGGCAGCTCCCAATGGCTGGAGGAGATGATCGAAGCAGAAATGGCAACAGTGGGTCTAGACACCATCCTTCCTTCCTTAAAAACAAGCCGTTAGAAGGAACAAAATAGTGCATCTGTGTCTCAGATATTTGCATGGCTTAAAAAATATAGGGTTCATAAAGACGGGT